CTTCTCTGGTTGCTGGCTTGCGACGGTTTCCTTTTTGTGGAGACTTTGCGGCCATTAGAGCCGAGAGATTGAGAGTCAACGTCTTTGGTTGAGCAGCAGCCGACGAGGCGGAAGGACCTTGGATTTCAATCCCCACATCCTCGAGCTCAATCTCGTCATCGTCATCTTCATCATCGGTGTCCCTGACGATTGTCTGGATGGTGGGTTTGGGTGCAAGGGGGACATCTTCAAACTCGACGTCCTCATCCTCATCGTCATTGTCATTGCGAGCAACTGCAGTCTTTTTGGTGATGGCAGATGGCTTCTCTCCTGGTCGCTTCCGCTTCAGAGGCCGCTCGGAAACTTCGACCTCGTGCGCCGTAGTCTCTGTGCGTGCATCGGCCAGCATCTCACGGTAAACATCTGGAATGGCCTCATTTTTGGATTGCCTGGACCGGGCACCTGCGCGTGCGGACCGCCGCGGAGTGATGTCATTTGTTGACGGCGGTGCATTTCGTTTCTTGCCAGCCATCTCGAGGAAAAAACTCTAAAACCCTAAATGCAAATTGAAGCCAAGTGTCTGTCGTCTTTCATGGAACCATTCGGGACTTGATAAAGTAAAAATGCCACAAAAAAAAAAATCCCATTGGCCCCCACGTGTTAATCGTGCCTGCCTGGTGACTCGACATTGCTTGGTTGTGTGACGTTCAGGTTGGCACGGAAAGTCGCGAGATCACGTGAGTCTTATACGAACTGTGATAAGTGTCGCCAGCTGGCAGCAGCTTGACAATACAATGAAATGCAAGCAGCATGAAAAAGGGCAGGATCACACAGTTGGGAAATCATCGGATGGCTACTTCCTCTGCTTGTTCGGATATTCCAATGCTTTCCTGAGAAATCCAATAAACCATATTCTCGAGTCACATTGGCTGGCGGAAACTCCTGAAACTTAGAAGTGGCCCTCGTAGCTGACGAGCATGCCGCTGCCGCCATGCCACCACCACCTTCTCCCTCGGCCTTTTTTTTTTTTTTTTTTTTTTTTTTTCCCTTCAATTTTCATCTGTATTATATTCTCTCTTTCCTTTCCGCCAACCCGCTGTCCCACCAAACAAATACAAAATCATCGACGTGGCTCGGTACTCCCTTGAAGGAAAATCTCGCAACCAAGTCTCTCAGAGAAAATTCAGTCACGGTCTTCCAGAAAAGGAGAAAGGGGTACAAGTACCTCACCATGGTCGCTCTCTCACTCGATAGACTTTTTTTTTTCTCCCTGTTACCAAACAAAAATTTAGAAAGTAATAACTCTATTAAAAAAGGAAAAGAAAAAAAAAGAAAAGGCGTATTTATCATTTTTCTAATCACTAATCACCACACACACACACACACACATCCTTTACGATACAATAGCATTATATTTTACTTTCCTCACGCTTTAATTACCTACCTCCCAGACAAAAAAAAAAAAATGTGCAAAGACCAGCATTACAAATACAAGGAGTGCGGGCACACCAAGTTTTACCAGGTCAACCAGTGCGGCAAAGTCGGGAACGGGTGCATGGGATCCTCGGGAGACCCGGAAATCATAGAGCCCCAGCTCGAGGGAAGTGTGACGATTGCAAAAAGTACCGGACCTGAAAAAGAGACAAAGCTCACACTCCCAATTACTTATTATTATTCCCCCCCCCCCCCCCCTCTATAAACCAGTTTGCTAATTACAGCTGCCATCTCTGGGAAACTTTTTTTTTTTTTTTTAACAACGATAATTCTAGTCCGATGGGGAGTGGCTTCCCAGCAGACAATTTTTATTTTTATTTTTATTTTTCCAGGGGAGTATTTTATGGCAATATATTCATGGCGCTCGAGACGGAATCGGGTTTATGGTGATATATTTCTTTCTTGGGCATTGAACAAAATCTACCAGAATCAGAGAGACTCCATCTAATACAAGAAAGACTCCTCGTTGATTCAACTGAAGATAAATAATTACTGCTGCTGTTCTGACTCACTACAAAAGCAAGGTAATCGCTTCCGTATACTTGCGTGCCCTCCTTATGCTGTTCATTCTTCAATGCTCAATCACCATCCAACAGAGAAACCATCAATTCTACATTCACATTATCAACCTGTCTCTTAACATTTTCTTTTCTCTTGGACAATACCAAATAAACCCCCCACCCACCCCCCCCCCCCCCTCGCAAATCAAAAAATTCAATACCCTCTCCTCCCTCCGACGCCATATCAAGAACCATTCTATATTCATCCCTCAGATAACTTCTTTCCTCCAAATCTCCGTGGAAATCTCAGCCCACCACCCTCTGAAATTCGAATTAGTTTCACTCGAACCGAAACGAATCGGGGTTCCCGCTTCAGTTCACTGAACAACATCCAAGCCACCGCCAGACGCAACGGCCAAGCACTCGTCACTTACTTACGCTACTTTCTCGAGAAAATGTCCAGCCCTAGTCCAATGATGATATCAGGCACCTCTCAGGACTTTTGACGCGTGGTATCTGTGATATACAAAGTGATTTCGATACCTCAACGTTTGATGGAAGCCTTGGACGGAGGATAACGAATAATTACCGCATCATCCGCACAAAGAGATGGTGTCCAAGAGACAGATAGTATTAATTAAATCAAAAAATGTTAGAATACCCTCACTGATAACTGAGAGCCAATAAATGAGGCTTCCTTTCTTTCAGGTCGAGAATCATCTGGCCAAAAAGGCCATTTGCCCAGGAGAACCTAGGTGATTTGAGCAGGGAGTCAGCACGAGCGGGAAATTTCATATGTGACAACAACAAACCAAAAAAAAAAAAAAAAAAAAAAAAAAAAGAAAAGAAAAAAAGAAAAACTCACCAATGCCTGGTCCATACCGACGAATCGTGCGTATTAACAGACTCGTGAATTAACCCATACTCGGCTGTCGAAGACATTATTTGCTTGAGGGAAGAGACGATTTCTTCATCATCATCACTCGTCATGATCCTCACAATAAGACTCATTGGCCAAGCCATTCCAGGGCCGATATGAGGACCTCCAGTTCTTTTATTACAGGCATAGTTAGCTTTGAACACACACATGCACAAAAAAAAAGACATTACCCGTTCAACACCGGCCCAAACATGTAATACGGATTATACTCGCTGAGAACAAACCGTCTCGTGTTCTGATACACCAAATCATGCCGATCGAGGTACCCAAACAGCGGAGCGCTCAGTAAGCTCGGAATATTGGCATCGTCCTATCAAAAATAAAACAGTCAGCATCGTGTTGCCCGAGAATATATTTATATATATATATATAACTCACCATAGCAACAACCCCTCCAAACCCATCAACCTCGTACCCGTACACCCTCCCAAACCTCGCATGATCAAACCTTCCATGCTTCTCCACCCCCTTCCTGATCCCCTTCGCCATGCCATCCATCCTCTTCCTCACTGCCTCATGATTACCACCCCCGATAATCATCTCCGCCGTCATCTCCAACCCCCTCGCCAGCATCATGTTGCCCGGAACGAACAGCTGAAACCCGCAGGCGTCGTCGCTGGGCCTGAAAGCGCTCCTGACCATCCCCGTCCCCCCTCTGACCGGACTCCCGAACCCGCCGTTCATCAAAGTCTCGGTGCTCGTGCTCGTGACCCTCTGGAACTGATACGGCGACCACGCGACGGTTCCGTCGCGGTTATAGGTGCCTCCCTTTAACTCGTCCGCCAGGTCCAGGATCTTGATAACTGCTTGCAGCCAGTCCGGGTTCTCTGGGGACAAGAAGAAGAGCGAGTCGTTGGTGCGGGAGTGGTAGGCGTGAGAGAGCACGAGGAAGGAAGCCAGCGAGTCGAGCTCGTATTTGCATTCGTAGACCGGGGATGAGGTACCGGATGAGAAGGAGGAGGGAGAGGAGGAGGAGGAGGAGAATAAAGGGACAGCGGGCTGGACGTAATCGGAGGAAAGGGGGGTTTGCACAAAATGATTACCAGATTCGGCCGGCGGGTTAAAGGCGTTGCAGTGGGGCGCCGTCAGGATGTAGCGGGCTTGGAGGTTGATGGCTCCGCGGAACAGGGAAGCCAAAGAGTCCGAGGAGTTGGAAGGGGTGAGGAGGGACGAGTAGGAAATCAGTTGGTGAGCCGAGTCGCGGAGCCACATGGCTGGGATGTCGCCTGTTGTTATGAATGTGAGCTGGCGGGGAGACATGATCAGTATAAGATATAAAAAAAATGAAGAGGAGAATAAGGGTAAGTTTGGAATACTTCTTGGTTGGTCTCGTTGGAGAAACCTTTCCATGTTATGGCTGTATCGAGGGTATTGGGAAAACAGTTCTCGAATAAACGGAATAGGTCGGGGTCCTTGATGACTTGTCTCATGGAGGCAATTGTCTCTTCGACTTCTGTGAGGTTGAAGGTGCGGCATGCTGGGTCTGGGCGCTGATATGCGAGACGATAGCGTCCCGTTGATCTTGGTTCGTGATGAGCGCTGGAGTGGCTTGAGTAATCTGGACAGCGGATGCGGTCCGGATCGAGGGTTTTTTGGGGAGAGTCAAAAGACGTAGCGACTGATAGTGGGATGGCAGGTAGCCACAGCATGAGTGCCTTCATAATGGCATGGATCACATGGAGGAAAGATGCGTGCACTGTGTGTTGAGAACAAATTCAATAACTTTTTTTTCTCTTTCTTTTATGATTTAAAAGGCCATCGACATATCGGCGCGCTTGGGCATCTGCACCCTGACGACACAGCTAAACATGGTGACAACAATGATGGTAAAATTAGCTTTCAGGACATCTGGCTGAATGATGATTTTTTTGGAAGAAAATGGTACGTGGAAAAGTAACCATTGCATTCTTGGCTTGATGAGAGTCTTGGGAGGGGAGGAGGAGGAGAGGACTGTGCGAAGTCAGTATCAACACTGTCAAGATCATTGTGGGATCCATACGGTAGCTCGAGCTGTCAGCTTCGTGGCCCAACATCAGCCTGGTGGGGATCATCTTCGCCAGTTCGGAATTCCAAACTCAGCAATCGAAGCGGCCATGGTGTAGTGGTTAGCATTATTGCCTTCCAAGCAATAGAGTCGGGTTCGATTCCCGATGGTCGCATCAACATAAAATTCCTTTCTCTCAGGTACAGTGCAAGTGCCGGAGTGGAAGCTTTTTTTTTTTTTTTGGCCAGGTTCCTTTTTTGTGGTTTTGGCAGGAGGAATCACTGCATGGTGTGAATTTCCTGTACCTGCGCAAGATTTCCAGGGTCCATTCGTTATTCCGCCGTCAGATGTCCTGGCAATCAACGAACCGCTCTTCCCTTCCTTCCCACTGCCGCCCTAATCCCGCAATTATTTCCAGTCGGTACCTAATAAAATGATCCAAAAAAAAGTTCCTACCAACATGTGGCGTCAATTATTATTATGAACAACAGAACTGTTTCATTCAGCCGGAACAGAAACAAACATGTCTCGTTTCCACCCTGTTCAAAACATCAAAGCTCCGATCCGTCCACCCCGCATTTTACATAATTACCCAGTTGCCATTCAAGGGAAGTTGATCGCTTGGCGACGGAGAACCAGCAGGAGTTGACGACTTGGCTTTTTTGCGCTCCTGGTTATTGAACTTGGCATGTAACACCAGAGTAGCACCCAGGATCCAAATCAGTGAGGTTTGTGTGGGTGTTGTATGTGGAAAACCTCCAAGCTGGCCTTTCGGCGACCTCCTCCCTTTGCGAGTCATGTAGAATACCATTCAGGATCAAGGTTGATTCTTTTTCTTCTTCTTTTTTTTTTACGTCTTTATTTATTTTACCCGGGGTTTTGATGATCTGAAATCGGGAGCCCCATGGTTTTTCTCTTTTCGTTTTTCTTTTGTCAGCCACCAGAGAGGCATGCTGAATGTGTGAGTAAGCTTGCATTGTTTTGTTCTGCTGAGACCTGAATTTGCGGTGACAGGGACGGAAGAACGAAGGAACGACATGAGAGGACCCAAACCGACCGTGATGGCTCCCCCTATCCGATTTAGGGGCATTCCACGAAGGAGTCGGGTGTTGGTATATGCCCTTCTTTGCATATGCATTATTTCACTTCTCCCGAGATTCGACTTCGGTATTGGAAGAACATTATTATTCTTCCTCGTCTCACCCCAATTCGCCGGGCGCTATGAAGGAGGGGGGGGAAGAGGAGTCGACATACTTCAATATGTCGACCCATTGATCGGCACAACCAATGGAGGTAAAGATTATACCTAACCTTCTCTCCCATCTGCCCACCGTCTAACACCTCCCCAGGCCACGTCTTCCCTGGCGCATCCCTCCCCTACGGCATGGCAAAGGCTGTAGCCGACACCCAATCTCCAGCAGAAAATGCAGCCGGCTTCGTCTCCGACTCCAACCCGGTCCTAGGATTCTCCCACATGCACGATTCGGGAACAGGCGGCCAGCCTTCGCTCGGAAATTTCCCTCTTTTCGTCCATCCGGGGTGTCCAGACGACGACTTTAAGAAATGCGCCTACACAGTAATGGAACGGGCCGTCAACCGGACCACTGACTCAGCATTCGCTGCCCCCGGGTACTTCACCATCAACCTGACCAACTCTGTCCGAGCTGAGATGACCGTTACCGAGCATACCGCGCTTTACCGGTTTTCTTTTTTAAACGTAAACGACGGTGAAGTATCCGTCATTGACAAGGAATCCGACGCGGACGCGCCGAAAACCAGCCAGGTCCCTTATTCCCCTCTGATACTAATTGATCTGATCGACCTCATGAACTCCCGTTACATGGGCGGGATTCAAGTGTACAACTCGTCCGGCCGAGTGATAGGTGAAGGGTCATATTCTCCCTCATTCGGGTCAGGGCAGTATCAGGCATTTTTCTGTGCGGATTTCAGGGGAGCAAAAATCAGAAAAACAGGAACATTTGTAGGGCCCGATGTCACCGAGGGGGTCGATTTCTTAGATTCCGAAAAGGGGCATGTACCCACGGGTTCTGCGGGAGCTTGGATACAGTTCGAAAAACCCCTGCAGGGGGATGAAATAATGGCCAGGGTGGGCGTATCATTTATGAGCGTTGATAAGGCTTGCGAGAACGCCGAAGAGGAGATAGCAGACTGGAGCTTTGAGAGGGTGGAGAGCGACGCTAGGAAGGCGTGGAGAACCAAGTTGGAAGTTATTGAGGTTGACGGGACTGGAGTGGATGATGATTTGTTGACTACTTTTTGGTCGGGGCTGTACAGGAGTGAGTTTTCATCATGATCTACTAGAAACACAGGGGATGATAAAAATACTAACTAAGGGATGACAGCGCTGCTCTCGCCGCAGAACTACACGGGAGAGAATCCGCTGTGGAACTCGACCGAGCCCTACTTCGATTCGTAAGTCTGGCCTGAGCGCTCAAATTATTAAATTGGGGGGGGGGCACGATGCTAACTCACGACAGATTCTACTGCATCTGGGATTCCTTCCGCGCCCAGCACCCCCTACTAACAATCATCGACCCCGACACCCAGACGGACATGGTCAGAGCCTTAATCGACATCTACCGACACGAGGGCACGCTTCCGGACTGCCGAATGTCCTTCTGCAAGGGCTTCACCCAGGGCGGCTCCAACGCGGACATCGTAATCGCAGACGCCTACATCAAATCCCTCCGCTCCAACATCAACTGGACCACAGCCTACGAGGCCGTAATCTCGGACGCCGAAGTCGAACCGCCCAACTGGGGCTCGTCCGGCCGCGGCAACCTGGAAGCCTGGCACCACGTCGGGTTCATCCCCGTGGACGACATCGACCGCAACGGATCCGGCCCGGCCTCGCGAACCGTCTCGAGGGGGGTAGAGTACGCCTACGACGACTTTGCCATCTCCCTGCTCGCCTCGGCCCTCGGAAAGCCTCTCGACGCGGCCAAGTACTCGCGCCGCGCGGCCAACTGGCGCAACTACTGGAACCCCTCGCAGAGGGACCTGTTCCGCGTCCCCGACACTCCCGACGGGGACCTGAGCTCGTCAAACTTTACGGGCTTCATGCAGCCCCGCCAGCTGGACGGCTCCTTCAAGTACCAAAACACCAGGTCCTGCTCGCCCATCCACAACCAGCACGGGTGCTACTACGACACGGGCCTGCAGACCTACGAGGGCTCCCCCTGGCTCTACTCCTTCTTCGTCCCGCAGGACATGTCATCCTTGATCTCCCTCATGGGCGGGCCCCAAAACTTCGTCGAGAGGCTGACCTACTTTCACACCTCGGGCATATCCTACATGGGCAACGAGCAGGGGTTCCTGCCCGTCTTCCAGTTCCACTATGCCTCGAGGCCGGGCCTCTCGAGCTTCTGGGCCCGCGAGCACATACCTTCCCTCTTCAACGCCTCGGTCAACGGGATCCCGGGCAACGACGACTGCGCCATGGGGGCGTTTTCGGCCTTTGCCATGATGGGCTTCTTCCCCGTGGCCGGCCAGGACGTCTACCTCTTGATACCTCCCTTCTTCCGCCAGGTCAGGATCAAGGCAAAGGAGAAAGGGAAATGGGCGACCATCAGGGTTCGGAACTTTGATCCGGACAGGAAGAGGATTTATGTCCAGTCGGCGACGCTCAACGGCAAAAAGTACACAAAGAGCTGGATGACGCACGACATCTTTCTGAAGGGGGGCACGCTCGAGTTTGTGGTCGGAGAGGAGGAGAGCAAGACCTGGGGGGTGAGGGACGAGGACCTGCCGCCTAGTTATCAGCCAATCGGGCTGCAGGACGGCGATGAGGAAGATGAGGAGGACGAGGAGGAGAGGAGAAGAAAATACGCACAGTTAGTATACGGCAATCTAGATGACTGAGATTGTTTTTCTTTTTTTTTTTTTTTGGGTTCTTTTTTTAGTTGACTTCACTGAGCATGTATAAAATATACCAACAACATATCTCTGAAAACTGCTTGTTTTTTTTTTTTTTTTGGTTCATTCATCGGGTTACAAAACTACCGACTTGCGTATACCTTTCATTTAAAAAGTAGGTAACAAAATGCCAAAGGGGTATCAATACTCGATTCAGTTGCGCAATGCCAAAACAAAAAGAAGAGAAAGGGAAAAAAATTGAAAAAAAAAAAAGGAGGAACGAAAAAAAAAAAAAAAAAAAAAAACCACAAGAGATGACTTGTGACCTCTAACCCTAAGACTCTTCGGTGCCGACCTAGTCTAGATATCAAGAATATCAAAATATTCTTCAATCTCAGATAAACTGGAACCGTCTGTAGATAACTGCGCTTACCAGCTACATCGATGGCTTACTTCGAGTTCCCCGTACTTGAACTGCTTCTCCATCTTTGGTTGTTGTTGTTACTTTCTTTGATCCGATGCTGAAGTGGTGTTTCCCTGTTGTGTCTTATGCTTCCTCTGTCCGGCCAAATGGCTTTACTATGTCTCTTCTTCTCTTTCTATATTTGTCGTTGCCTTTCTTTTTCTCCGTCCCAATCAATTGCCTCCCCACCATTCATCATGCTCTTTCTCCCTGCTGCCATTGCCCCAACTCTGATAACCGTGCCACAAAATTGTCAACCATCATTGTCATCATTGTCCTTCGCCCAAGGCGCCCTGGTGACGGAATACTGGGCGCCAGGAGGTGAAGGCTTACCCTCCAAAAATGGGAGATCGGGTATGCTTACCCTTCTACCGCTAGGTGGTTCGCGGCTCCGGGGCTGGCTCTCAGGATTTTGGCCTCCGAGGCCTGATGGTTCTTGAATTGCTCCCGTCGCTGAGGATATTGGGACCGATCTCGCCTGTGCTAAAGTAGCAGCGCCAGCTCCTCCAGCAGGCCCAGATAGCCTTTGCCTCAGCGGCCAAGATGTTTGTTCTCCTCGGCCAGCTCCCGTGCACAGTCCTCTAGCGTTATAATCAGAAGGAGACACCCTCGCAGTCCTTGGAGGAGCCATCGTCGTGCCCATGCCCATTGTTGAAGATGTACCAGAAGAAGGCGGCGGCCGAATCGTCCCCACCATCTGCGTTGGCATGCCCGTACCCCAAGTAGTAGGCCCAGGCGCAACGGAAGGCATTGCAGAATTCATCACCCCACCGGGAAGACTGGCAGAAGTAGTAGTCGGCTGGCTGGCAACATGGACCGACTGCGCAGGCATCCTA